GCATAATATCCCATCTCTTCTTTTCTTAGACCTAAAAACGGATGATCACAAAACAGCTACGTTAAATTGCAATCAAGCTCTATAAACAGAATTTGATTGGCAATCCCAACCTAGAATTGCTTTCTCTTTGTACAGCTTGCTTGCCTTCAATGTAGAGGTTTTGTGAAATTTCCCATATGAGAAATAAATCCAATCTTTCTTGAGGCGTCTGGGGTCGCACCAGTCTGACGATAATGACTTTCTTTTCATGTGGAGCTGTATAATAAGCTGCTGACAAATCTGGAATTTCATCTGTCTTTCTGCTTTGATGTTTAAATGCTCGTTCTAATGGTGGCCTTGGGGTAGTTGAAAATAAATTTGGAAAATTCACAACTAACTCTTTCTCAAGCTATTTTCTTCTTTCTTATATCTCTGCTCGTTTAATTTCTAACTCATGAATCGTAAAATTTCATGCCCGATATCCAAATGATCTCCATCATCTTATAATGCCATCTTCTCAAATTGGACTTACCAATGATAAGTCTGTCAAGATGTGGAATGACATAAAATGTTAAAGTTGTATTAAATGGGGGTGGTAAATTGAATTCTGCTGATAAATCAATCCGTTGTTGACCTCTCGTAATGCAGATTTGGCTCTGATTGGTTGCTTAGGTTTCATTGACATTTCGAATAAGCAAATAAATCATTCATCAATAAAATTGGCTTCAGTGCGGAAATCTCACTTTTTTTTTTTTTTCTGAGAATACCATTTATTCTAGTTCTTATACATAATAACATACAGAAATATAATAAACAGATATACAAATAGAGGAACAAAAAAATGCATCAGCCAATGATTCAAAAAACCTCATATAAGCAACATAAATTAGTAGGTGTATAGGGAAGGAATTGTAGTTAGAGTGAATGTTACCCAAATCTTAATAAAGGAAGTGGAGAGGTCCACCTCCAGGCCAACATGCCGTCGAAAGTATAAGAAACGGGAGACAACATAAAGGTAACGATTAAGGACAAACGATTGGTAAGGTGATAAAGCTGCATTGCAAATAAAGTAGCGAAGTTTCCTTGGAAGATTCGGTGGGTGGAGCTGTGCCCAAATAGCATTAGTAATTGGACATTTAGTATAGATATGATGAAAATAGAACCGGCCCAAAAGGGAACGTCCACAAAACTCGCAGACTTTATCCGAATAATGAGTACCATGACCTAAATTAATTCGGTGTAGTGTATCTAACCCATCCGGATATCGATGTTTAGCTTTCAGTAACATAGCAAAAAATTTTGCCCAGGTAGCCTCATCTAAGCCATACAAAGAAGACCAGCCGTTAGGAGTAATACTTTTACACTGATCAGAATGGTATTGCTTCGAGCGACTATGGAAGAAGCCTTCATCAAGTTCTTGAAAGAGCTTCGGTAAAGGGGGAGCTATCGATGGATTAATAAGATTCAAATAGTCAAAATGGGGATAACTGATTGGTTGAGCAACGAATTGATCAGTTATCCCCATTTTGACTATTAATTGAAGTCCCGGGTAAGCGAAGATTACGGTACTGAATCAAACTCTATCGATCAATTGTTTATTTCCAAATATTACGGTGCCTCGCTTGACTATCCACATCCATCTTATAGATTTGTAATTGATCCTCAATGTTAAGATCTTCTTCATCCTTAATTTCAACACTGTCTGGATTGCTCATTTACACTATATTGATTCCAAAAATATCTTCATCAACTGCATCGTCTTCTTCCACTATCGAAGATTCCATCTACCTGGTTCAGAAAAAGACAATTCATTAGTTGACTTAACATAACGAGTATCCATTCTGATTGGCACCCGACGGTATCTTCTGGTGGTTGGATCGCATTATCAACAGCGGCTCAGGACTAACTCAGTAATAATAAATGGGAATAAGTCAACCTTTTGTTACACTACATGAAATCATCTAGTGAGTTGGTTTATATTTATTGTTCACACTTCAGACCCAAAGTTGTTGGAAATTGAGTCTTGTTTAATGCTCTGATTAGTAAAGATATTAGAACATACATTTATAATTGGAGATCATTTCTTCTAAGTAAATATTCTGAACTGAAAATGTTTTCCTTATTATTTCTTACTGTGGTGCATTCATGCGACTTCCAACAAAGAGACTTCTTGCTGCCTGCTGATTTCATTTAATGAGAGAAGAGGAGAAGTTTACACAAAGTATAAAAAAAAAATTGAAACAAAAAGAAAGAAAAGAAAATTTTTAATGAAAATGGAACGTGAATTGATGAAATTTAATTGGTGATCTTAATTAACAAGAATGACTGGGCTTATAAATAATAGAAAATACCATAATCCTGGTACTGAACTTGTGCAAAGACAAACAACTCTGGAGCTCTAATACTTAGTACTACGATAGTAGACACTCCAGTATATCACTCTGAAGGATATGATAGTAAATTCTAGGAACTATTAATAGAAATTGATTATTTGGGTGTGGTAAAAATTCTATTCAATTTTTCTGGTTTTGGGGGTTTGAATAAAAATTTAGAAAGGGGGAAAGCAAAATAATCAGCAACCACTTACTACAAGTACACATAAAAAGAATAAATTAGATTGCTTTCTTTCTTTTAATAGGGTATCTGTTTTTTACTCCTTCCGCAAGGGGTCATGTAACACATGTACTTATACATAGTTGTTATTGACTGAAAATCGACACGTAGTAGTATGATGAGCCGTGATCCAATTCTTTAAATTCTCTCATTTTTTTTTTTCTCGCTTTAATTTCCTCTCTGTTTGGTAAAAAAAACAATAAGAATTTTTTTTTTTTCGTTTGATTGATGGTGCTACCAATTATTCACTACCAAATCGTAAATAAGTTTTTTTTTTTCATTAAAAGTAAGAAAAAGCTTAATAGAAGAAAGAATTTAAGGCTGAAATGAAAAACTTGTAACCAAAAGGAAAATGAATTCCCTTTAGAACAATCCACAACACACACAATAACAAAAACTTAACTTCTTCTTTTCTTCTTGCACTTTTTTTAATTTAAATTACTTTCTCTTTTTTAAATGAACACCCATTTAATATTAACTTAACCTCTTAATCAATCAATCAATCATTATGAACGTATCATCTATGCTATCTAATGATGGCAACATAACACCACCACCACCACCACCTCTACCTCAACAACAACATCCTCATCCAGTGCTGATTGGTATTAACTCTATTATAAATCCAGTACCACAACAACAACCGCAACAGCAACAGCAACAGCAACCACAACCAAAATCAATACTATCTTTGCAACACACATCAAATCAATCAAATGGACATTCAATAAATGACAACCAAGACAACAACGACGACTATAACACTACTGCTATAGTTGGTGAAATTTTACCAAGTACAGCATATGACAATAATGAAAATAACAATCAACAATATATTATAGATCCAGATTATAAATTTCAATTTGAAAATAACATCAATGTAATTCATCGATTAGATCAATATCAACAATTAAGTCATGATTTAAAATTATTAAAGTTTGATGAATGTAAATATAATAATTTATTATTGAATACTAATCAATTTGTTACTAATTATATGGATAGAGTTATTGCTGAAGATATTAGTTCAAGAAATAATAAGATTAGTGACACTAATAAGAATAAAGAATTGAATTATATTGATTATTCAAAACCTTTACATCATAATACAACAAGAGGAAAAGAATTCAAATGGGGTTCAACTAGAGAGGTCCATAAGATAGAACTGAAAAAGAGAAGAAGAGCTGCTGCTACTGCCGCTGCTGCTTCCCTTGCTGCTTCTGCTACTGGTGCTAATGCTGCTGCTACAACGACTGCTCCTAGTGGTACAACTGGTTCTCCAAATGGTAACGTATTAATCAAGCCAAAACCTGCAAATGCATCAGCTACACAACAAAAGAAATCATCTCTGGGAGAAGCTGTTAGACGTAGTTCTCGTCCAAAACCAAAGAGAAAATTAGTAGAAGTAGAACAACCAAAACCTGAACCTGCTCCCAAGAAAGTTAAGCCTGAAGAAGAATCAACCAAAATTAAACTTAAACTCACAGTTAAAGAGCCAACTCATAAAAATGGTGTTCCACTTAATACTAATTCCAAAGAATATAAGGCTTATATTAGACAATATGATAATACGTTTATTGCTATTTGGAAAGATATGTCAAGAAAAGATGGTCCTAAAGTAAGTAGATTAATGCAACAATCAACTCAAGCAAAATTAATTAATCTTAAAAAGACAACCATATTAGCAGCAAGAGAAGCAAAAAGGTGGCAAGCTAAAAACACCAAGAATCAAAAAGATTTAGTTACAAAGGCAAGAAGAGCAATGAGAGAAATGTTTAATTTCTGGAAACGTAATGAAAGATTAGAACGTGATTTACGTAAGAAATATGAAAAAGAATTATTAGATAAAGCAAAACGAGAAGAAGAAGAGCGTGAAGCTAAAAGACAATCAAGAAAATTAAATTTCTTAATTACTCAAACTGAATTATATTCTCATTTCATATCTAAAAAAATCAAAACTGAAGAAATTGAAGCTGGCGATTCTGATCCAAGATTATTGACAACAAAACATGACAAGACTCATTTGGATAAATATGCAGATGTGAATCTTAATGGAGAAACTCATGATATTAATACTCTTGATTTTGATAATGAAGATGAAGAAGCATTACATCGTGCCGCAGCACAAAATGCTCAAAATGCTTTGGAAGCGGCTCAATCAAGAGCTAAGCAATTTGACACTGCTCATGAACAAGAAGAAGATGAAAATGATCCATTCAAGAACCCAGATACAAATGGTGAAGAAATGAATTTCCAAAATCCAACATTATTAGGAGATTTATCAATTGCTCAACCACAAATGTTGAAATGTACTTTGAAAGAATATCAAGTTAAAGGATTAAATTGGTTAGCTAATTTATATGAACAAGGTATTAATGGTATTTTAGCTGATGAAATGGGATTAGGTAAAACGGTTCAATCAATTTCCGTATTGGCATATTTAGCAGAAACTCATAATATTTGGGGTCCATTTTTAGTCGTAACTCCAGCATCAACTTTACATAATTGGCAACAAGAAATCACTAGATTTGTACCTGAATTTAAAGTCTTACCATATTGGGGTAATGCCAAAGATCGGAAAATTTTACGTAAATTTTGGGACAGGAAAAGTTTCCGATATGGAAAAGATTCTCCATTTCATATATTAGTTACATCATATCAATTAGTGGTTGCTGATGCCGCATATTTCCAAAAGATGAAATGGCAATATATGATTCTTGATGAAGCACAAGCGATCAAATCATCACAATCATCAAGATGGAAATCATTATTATCATTCCAATGTCGTAACAGATTATTATTAACCGGTACTCCAATTCAAAATTCCATGCAAGAATTATGGGCATTGTTGCATTTCATTATGCCAAGTTTATTTGATTCCCATGATGAATTTAGTGATTGGTTTAGTAAAGATATCGAAAGCCATGCACAATCAAATACAAATTTGGATGAACAACAATTAAGAAGATTGCATATGATTTTAAAACCATTTATGTTGAGAAGAATTAAAAAGAATGTTCAATCGGAATTAGGTGATAAATTAGAAATTGATATTTTCTGTGATTTAACCAATAGACAAAAGAAATATTATCAAATGTTAAGATCTCAAATTAGTATCATGGATTTATTAGATAATTCAGTTGGGAATTTTGGGAATACCAGTGGAGAGGAAGCAACTTCGTTGATTAATTTGGTTATGCAATTTAGAAAAGTTTGTAATCATCCTGATTTATTCGAAAGAGCAGATGTGAAATCACCATTTGCAATTACTAAATTTGCGGAAACAAGTTCATTCTTGAGAGAAAATGAATTGGAATTATATTATAGTTCGGAAAATTTGATTCAAATGCAATTACCTAGATTGATATATGATGAATTGTTAACTCCTTGTTTTGAAAATGATTCCATTGATAAATCATCAGTGTTTGAAAAATTCTCGATATATAATCCGGAGAATGTTATACAAGAAACTCAAGATGGATTCGGATGGTTGAAATTTGTAGGTACATCCCCAAGTGAATTAAAGACTATTGCTAATAAGAATCTCATCTCCAATGCAATTGATTTGAAATCATATACTGATATAAATTATACCAAAATGGGAAGATTTAGATATTTATATGATGAAGGTGAATTTATCCCAACCAATAAACAATTATTAATTGCAGAGTATAATAACAAATATTGTGATATTGCAAATTCAACCATCTTATCTGAATTATATTCCATTAAGGATATAGTCTACCAAGAAATGAGAATCAATAGTATGCACCCATCAGCAGAACCAATCGCCAGTGCACCCCCAATCACCATCAATTGTTCATCAAGAAATTTCACTCATGTTCTACAAGATACTTTATTCGACACTGAGATTCGATCAGCATTATTACCATTATCATTAGACACTGAATATGAATTAATGAAAAAACAACTCCCACTTGTCCAATATCCAAAATCGCAAATGTTACCACAACCAATCAACAATCTTATCGATTATTCAAACATCAGAATGCCAAGTTTGACAAGATTCATTACCGAATCAGGTAAATTATCCAAACTTGATGAACTCTTGGTTGACCTCAAAGCCAATGATCATCGAGTATTAATATATTTCCAAATGACAAGAATGATGGATTTGATGGAAGAATATCTCATATATCGACAATATAAATATATTCGTCTTGACGGATCCTCAAAACTTGATGATAGACGTGATTTAGTTCATGATTGGCAAAATAAACCAGAAATCTTTATATTTTTATTAAGTACCCGTGCTGGTGGATTAGGTATTAATTTAACGGCCGCCGATACTGTTATCTTCTATGATTCCGATTGGAACCCTACCATTGATTCACAAGCTATGGATAGGGCTCATAGATTGGGACAAACGAAACAAGTCACGGTATATAGATTATTAACTCGTGGTACTATTGAAGAAAGAATGAGAGATAGAGCTAAGCAAAAAGAACAGGTTCAACAGGTGGTTATGGAAGGAAAAGCCACTCCTGCTGTTTTGAGTAAGAAGGAAGAAAATGCGAATAAGAAAAAGGATGTGGCGTTTTTGTTATTGGGTGATGGTGGGGGGAGTACTACACCTGGAGATGAGTCTACTTCGGTGAATTCGACTCCTGAACCAGAACAGAAGGAGAAAGTGAAGCTGAATAAGAAGAGAAGTTTGGTGAGTGCTGATGAGGCGTTGAGTAGTAAGAAATTACAAGAATTGTATCATGAAGGAGAAGGAGAATTTAGTGGGAATGTAACTCCTGCCCCTATGTAATTTAAAAATGGTTTGTATTAGTGTATATTAGTTTAAAGAATAAATAAATAAATAAATAATTAAAATTAATATTAAAAAGTAAGTCCGAAATTGGTTTCAAGAGATATATCAGTCTTATCCTTGAATTGACCTTTCGGTAATATTCGACAATTTATGTGACAATTTTCCTTCTAATTCATTCAAAAACTGTCCATTATTTCTCCTACCTCCACCAAACTCCTCTCTCTGTAACTCAAAACCACTCTGTTCTTGACTTCGACTCATGGATTTCTTCAACACTTCATTCTCATTTTCTAAATTATATATCCGATTAAAACTCTCTTCTAATCGAGAACGTAATTGTGACTTACTCAAAACAACCCTTTCTTCGCTGTCACTATCATTCCCATCCGCTTCATTTGTCGGCAATGTAGTATGAGAATTAATCAACTCCGTTAATCCACTTATGTTCGACTTCATCGAATTTAACGAAAATCGATTCACATTTAGCAGGCGTTTTCGGGCAGTTAATTGGTCCAAAGTGAACTGATTCATTGATTCCACGCCTTCTGGGGACTGGGGTTGTCGTGGTAGTTCGGGTATTGGTGGTTGTTCGAGGACTGTTACGAGTTGAAATCCGCCCGAGGAGCGTTTGGGTCTTTCGGTTGTAGTAGGGGATTTGAATGTGTTGTGATATGTTTCGGTTGGTGTTTTGGGAGTGTCTGATCTGCTGGTGATACTACCAGCGCGACCTGATTTGAATTGTTTTAGATTGAAGCCGTTGGAAGTACCATTATGCTGGGAGGTGGAAGCTGGGCCGACACTGCCTGTGTATGAAGAGTGTGATGATGTTGGAGGGTGATGGTGATATTGTTGTTGTCGGGATATGTCGTGAGATACTAATTGATATATCTGATTAATTGAAGATAAATCTTGATTAAAATTTTGATAGATTGTTAATTTCTCCGATTCATCATCTATTGATTCATTATGATAATAATTTTTGAAATATTTAAGATTAGTTGTTAAAGTTGATAATTTTGTGATTAAGTGGTCTAGATTGCGTAATGACATTTCATCATTATCTTGAGATCCAGGTTGTTGTGACTGTTTTAAAATGTCTTCATTTTCTCTATTTTGCTGGTGATGTTGTTGATTGCAAGTGGTATCAAATTTATTAAAGAGCCTATTTATATTCGTCACGGTTTCGTTATGATCATGAAGGATATCCTTCAACAAAGCAAATTTGTGAGTCATTGGAAGATATGGTTCTTCATGGACCAGTATATCCACTCCAAATTGTTGCATTAGTTTATAATTAAAGAATGTGGGTATTTGGGTTTCATTCAAGGTTAATAATTGACAAATGAATAATTTCCTTGATTGGTTGAATTTATTAATATGAAAGACTATTCTTTGGATTGGATCATTTCCGGTATATTCCTGCGATATGGATTCAAAATTGACATTATTTAATTGACAATATTGTTCAAGTAAACCTCCATTCAAATATGGTAATAATTTAATAATTCCAGTATGTATGTTCAAATTCAAGAATGATAATGAATTAAGTAAATGATTATTCAATTTATCTTTATAACTTTGGTTGGCGTCACCGAGATGATTATTCTGGGGAAGGAAGTTATATATTTCAAGTTCTTTCAAATTGATCAAGTTGGAGATTAACTTTTTATTAATCACGTAATTATTCATTAAGAATTCATTCAAAGAATTAAGCAATTTATTTGTATCGATTATAATTCTAAATTTTCTATATTTGATTAATTTCATGGAAATTATTAATATGACTTTAAATAACTTCAACTGTCGTTGTTTCACTTCCGGAGGTGAATGTCGACGATGATGTAATTGCTTTAATAAATAAATAATCAAATTGATTACATATACCACCAAATTAATATTATTATATCTCAGATTATATATCAATTGATATTGTTTTTGAGTAATTTTCAATTCTGTTCCATCAAAGTTTAAAAATTGAATAAATGAAGAAGAGCCTGCTCTTCTTTCTATCTGTTTCTGTTGTTCCAATGTTTGTTTCAAATTAGCTAAACTTTGATCTTGCTTAGATAAAATCATGGAATCTTCTAATAAATTACTGACAATTAAATTATATCTAAACTTTTCCCAAAAATCTCCAACTCTCTTCTCTAATGATAAATATTTCTTGATAAATTTACTAAAATTGGCTGTATTGGGTATAATATCTTGTCCACAATATTCCTCATAAAAGTCTTTAAACTCGTACATATGGCCCTTGTCTACTTCCTCTTGTACTTCTAATAATTGCCGTGCAATCAGTGACAGTCGTTTATGCAGATGACCACCCAAATTCATAAGAAATTGAGGATTAGGAGGCGCGTAATGCAACCCATATTCATCCTCCTCGTGAGGATGATGTCGTGTCGATGAACCAATGACACTACTATTGGTGGAAGATCTACCCGTGGTTGTTGATGATCTGATTCTTGTTGGCAGAAAGAGCGGTTCTTCAATACCCCAATCACTCATTTCATTGGCTGATGATGCTGTGGTGGGTGCAGTAGCGGTTGTGTTTGAAAAGTAGTGTGATAGAGGGTTTATTCTATCAAAGTTCATGTTGGATGGTATATCATGAAAATTAATTTATAGGGTGTGTTGCCACTTTTTGAGATCTAAAGGAATGTGTCCGATTTGTTTTGAGGAAAGCGTTTAATGATATATATATAATGTACCCTTCACAGTATATATATAGCCTTCGCCTCGCTATTGTTGTTTATTACCTTATATGGGTAAACTTCTATAATAAACAAAGAGAGAGAAAGAGAGTAGCAGTAACCAATTGTTTTTCTTTGGGGAAAATAAAGAAATTAAACTTTTTTTTCCTTCGGGTTATATACAGGAATATAACTGTTCCTCCATTCAAACCAAATGCGCAACAACCTCGGTCTTTAATCTGTAGTTAATTACCCGAGAATAATGTATTATGCAATATAAACTAAAGAAGAATACGAGCAAATCTCCAATTTTCAGAGGAACCAAGATGCAGAAACAATTAACAATGAACTCCACAATTGAAGAAGATCATCTGAAAATATGAAGATGAAAAATGGTACGACGCGCACATTTTATGATCTGATATCTGCTGAGATACGAACAGAATAAAGATATGACATCGGTATATCCATCGACTTTTCCGTTCTTTATTCCAAGCAATTAATTTAAATTGGAAACTCTCTAGACGAAGGATCTTTCTTTAACGAAATATCAAATGCTACTAGCGGATAATTTTATTCTCTTCTGATTAACTTCCTTATTACATAATCGTAATGAGTGGTTATGTGTTGCTTCCTAATTGGAGTAATCGTGGAGATTATAGACTTTAGCCGGTCGCTAGTGAGAATGTGGTATGGCGGAGCTCCAACCAAACGAGGCACTTCCGTGGAACTTGATACATTGCAATGATTTCTGAAAATGCCTTGATCCACTCGCCACCTTCCCCGTACCTAATTTCCTCGTTTAGAGGTTTTGGGAATTGGTTGGAGAGCAACTATCAGTCTTCTATGGATTACATACTGCATTCGAACTTGATACACCTCGGAATTCCAAATACACATACACTCGGTCGTTCTATCATAAGAACGGTCTCGTGCTTCAATCATTCAAACAACATTCTTGTTCTCTCGAATTCTAGTAAAGACACTCTATTCTTACAATGGTCAACTAATTTTGCAATTTGTACAAGAAGAGTCTTAGGAAAAAATACCAAAATGACATTTCAATTAAATATACAAAAATAAATACATTAAACATTCACAATACTGATACTTTACATGTTAAACATCCTCACTTAACCTATTACATCAACTTTCCTCTATACGTATATATTACACTTCCTCCTCCTTCTTTTCTATGCAAACCCGGGCCCACTTCCCATCGAACTCAACCAATCAGTCCCAATAATATAATCATTACTCCCATTCACTCCACCACCACCACCTCCTCCACTCTCATCACCCTTCATCATCATCTCTCCTCCATTCTGCTGCTGCTGTTGTTGTTGTTGGGCCTGCTGTTGTTGTTGTTGTTGTTGGATAAACTTCAATCTCTCCTGTTGTAAATTAAACGCACCATTCCCACCGGAGTCATCTTTCTTATTCGTATCATTGGTGAAATCTAACATTCCAGACAACATTGCGTCATCTAGCATATCCGCCGTTTGCTGTGACTGTTGTTGTTGTGGCTGTGGTGGGGGAACCCCTCTTGGTTGGATGGATTGATACATTATCGGCTGTTGCTGTTGCTGCTGTTGTTGGACGGGTGGTTGCAGATGGATAATCAACGGATTGGATGGGTCCATACTTGTCCTCCTAATCCCGTTATTATTATTATTCATGAATTGTTGTTGTTGTTGTTGGGTCGGTATTTGTTGTCTCTGTTGTTGAGCCTGTTGCTGTTGTTGTTGGGCTTGCTGTTGTTTTTGTTTTAGAAGATATTGTTTCTTTTGTAAATTATTTTGATTTTCCATTTGTAATAAATTCATTTGATAATCATTTATACCTTGATTAAATTTATTAATCCCATCTGCACCGGGAGATTGTGCATTCGAACTCCTAGGTTGACCAGCCCCACCCATTGCTGGCGACTGTAATGCCTGTTGTTGAAATTGTTGTCTCTGTTGTGCTTGAGCCTGTGCCTGAGCTTGAGCCTGGGCTTGCACTTGTTGTGCTTGTTGCTGTTGTTGTTGTAGCATTGCCTGTTGTTGGAATTGCATCTTCAATTGTTGTAATCTCAATTGTGGTTCATATTGATGTGCACCACCTCCGCCACCACTACCACTACCACCACTACCAGTGTTGGTATTACTATTTATAGTAGGGGATGATTTCCCACTTGGAGGTCCCATTTTATTATTATTATTCGGAGGTGCGGGGATTCCTGTTTTGGGGACTATTAGATTGTTATTACTGCCAATTGATTGATTGCGGCCGATTATTGGGGTGGCGGAATTGGACGCCGCGGCGGCAGCAGCAGCAGCCGCTGCTTGTTGTTGTTGCTGCTGTTGTTGCATCATTAATCGTTGTTGAAGAGCTTGTTGTTGTAATGCCTGCTGTTGCTGTTGCTGCTGTTGTTGCTGCTGCAAAGCAGCGTGCTGTTGTAAAGCCATCTGTTGTTGTTGAGCCATTGACACCATTGACATTCGTTGCATCATCATCTGTTGTTGTTGCTGTTGCTGTTGTTGTTGTTGTTGATTAGTATTCAACACCTGATTCAAATTTGGATTCACCGAGGATTGTAGACTCCATAATAAACACCACCATTCATATAAAAACGTATCTTCTTCTTCATTACCACTACTATTAATTCCCATTGCTGAATTAGGTAAAATTGAGGAATCTCCTAATTGTTGTGATAAATTGATTATATTATTGGGAACAGCAGTTGATTCGGCTAATAATGTTTGGGCTGAATCATTTAATCCATTTGCTTTTAGATAGTTATATAAATGAGCTAAGAATAATTGATATGGATCTTTAGCTAATAAATCAGAAACCGTATTAGGCGGTATATTTGGACTTGTCATGGGAAGTACATTGCTATTGCTTGCAGGCGTGGGGATCTGATTATTCTGTGGAACGTATTGAGATTGTTGCTGTGGTTGTTGTAGCTGTTGTGGTTGTTTTGGAGTATTTGAAGAATTAGTTACTTGAGAAGTTGATGTTAGATTATCTAATAAACTATTGAATTCATTATCATCTATAGTTGTATTATTAGCACTGCTGTTCTTGTTATTGTTAGTGTTACTGTTATTGTTACTACTACTATTGATATCTATAGTAGAGAACATATTGCATTCGTTTGTTTATAGTGAAAACTGAAACTTGTTAATCTGATTGGGTAGTGTATTTGAATTGAATTGAATTTAAAATTTATTAAAATTATTTTTTAATTTTTGTTTTCTGGTGGTGAGTTTTTTCTTTGGTGGAAGGAATGGAATGGAAGGTGTAACAAGACAGATAGATAGACAATAAATATGATTTAGTATTAACTGTAATTGATGAAAAGAATAGAAATATATTTATCCGTTATAAATAATTATAAATATAATTGAAAGTTAATTTAAAAGAGCAAAAGAGAGAAAGATTGACAGATTGATTGACTTTTGACTGACTGACTGATGGAACGGATTATTTATATTTTTTATTTTTTTAAATTAAATTTTTTAAATTTTCCATTTAATTAATATATGGAGAAACTACTATAGAAGTTGATTATAAATAAACTTATAAATATTCTATTAAAACATCCCCTAATACTAATACACCCCCATTATCAATTAGGTAATTGTAACATTCCATTCTTTTATTTGAAAGATATTTAAAGTTAAAGTTTATTTATATTTAAATTAAAAAGTGGTGATGGTTTATTCAAGAAAAAACTGATTAATTAAATTAAATATTCTATCAAACGTTTGTTTCTTTTGTTAGGGAGTACTGAACTAACTAATATCTCTAATCTTCATCTATTTACTCATTACTCGTTACTTAGATAGACTTACCAAAAGTAAATTATACTTCTCATTTGATTACAATGGATCAACATATTGGCCAGCCCCCCCACCACCCCCCACCAGCCACCTCCCACCGGCAAAACAAATTATTAGCCGATATGCTCGCTGACTGTGATCTCTCAATCTCTCATTTTTTGACTCCTTTCAAATATCCTTAAAGAAATGCGTATGTATTAAATTATACCAGATGGCTTCACTAGAGAGACAGACTCTGCTATAGCTATGTAGGTTAATTAAACTCTTTTGTGTAACTAAAGAGACCGTTAACGGTCCTCTGGTAAATGATAATCTCCCAGCACACTTGTTTTTTTCTTGTAGCAGCACACTTTTATAAAAACTTGCTGCAAAAAAAGATACTTTTCTAGAAGTTTGTATGGCGATTTATACTATTGGGATCGTCCGGAGAACAACTCTTGATTCCGATTATATCCAATGTAAGTTACACCAGGCCATCAGATTCTGGAAAAAGTTGGCGAATATCTCAAAACAATAGTCAGTTTGTCTAGAATTGCGATCCAAATGAAAACCTGAAAGGTTAAAATGCTTGGCTTCTACCCGGGCTGACCCACACGTTGGTTTTGCTTGTATCCAGGAGTGGTGCCAAGATATATATTATATACTGGTTGCATCAAGTGCTCTTACATCTTTGTCAGCAGATATCCAATCTAAATAAGAGAAATACCTGTGAGTTCACCCCTTAGTGGATTTGTCTGGAGTATTGGACAACCCAACTCACTGAAAGGTGCAATGCTGTTAACGTTGATTGATGATACTCTGAAGGAATCAGTGAAGTCAGTTACCCATATAATCATGAATATTGCGCCCTTCAATCGTGAGAGACAAATGTAGTTAGATTGCATCAATATTTATCAACAACCAACTGGATGAGTCTGAACCTCTGGGAAAAGTTTCCTTAAGTCTTCAAGGGTATCAAACCCCTAGTCCTGCTAAATTGGAATGGCAACCCAAGTTTCATAAACTTCGCTATTTACTGATCTAAATTATGTTCCGTTCAGGTGGTGTTGGGTAGTCGTGTTTAGAGAGATTTCGGAATCTGAAAATATAAAATCCATTACTTGATCGGATGACTCTTAAAATCATAATTTGCTGCCGTGTACGCATTCTAAATTCGAACCCAGCGGTGTGTCCTAGACTTTATCTAAAGAGGGGAATAGAAGGATATCAATCTAAGTCATAAATCTGACCAACCTAAAAGTAATTCATGTTAATAGAATCCTGACCAGATACTGTGACAAGTTTTCTTGGGACCTCCACCTCGTCTGAGCTTATCCTTACAACAGGTTATGAGCCAGTTTACACTTGCTGATAACCTGATGAAGGGCACTCTCAGGAAATGTGGAAATTGATTGATTCACACTTGTCGTGATTCGTTGTTTCAGTTGATTGTTAATCTTGAAATTTTTTTCAAATTTTTCATTTCGACGAAATCTCACCCCTTTTTATACTACTACCTGTCAGTCGCACCACCAATGTCGGTAATTTTTTCGGAAAGACTGATTCGCGGTGGTGTATCCATTCTGTGTTCAGATGGAACTTCGTCAAAGTGGTTGTGAGGCAGTTTCTTTCTTCTCTTGCCAACACAAGCTTTCAATACCTCTATAGGGTGTAATATTCGTGAAGAATGACTAATGCTCCATTATTTGTCAAAGCACTCAATCAATTCCCATGATGAATTGGAGACAAATTCTCGACATATCGAATAAGCAACAAAATACACGTGATGAAAAAAATATGTTAGTCGACGATCCATTAATTAAGTAATGCTATCAACTTCGGAGTTTCCCAAAGTTTGAGTTGTTAGTTGCAAAACATAAACTTGTGGGAATTGAAATTTATTATATCCTAAAGCTCTAGTAAGGCTTAAAATGAGAATAGGAAGACTTAATGGAGGTTGCTTGTTGAATGAACTTACTTGGGGAATACTCTATTCGGCCCATCAGGAAATGGTACGAGTGAGATCACCCAATACGTTTTGTATTTGTAGGAGCATAACGCCTATAGGAGATACCGGGTTTTGTACCAGCCAGGTCTTCCCTTCTGGAGTATTGTTCATATATATCTTCCATATAGAAAGCAGTCGTGACGTGCATCTGACGTACTTTACTTCCTATGGGTTCTTGCTTCTTGTGCTAAACAGTTGAATAAAAAATGGTAATATTAAAGAAATAATTACTCTTCTTAGGGAAATCAAAGACACATATTATTTCTCTGGATTCCTCGTCAAGTTTCATTTTAAATAATTGAAAACACAGATCACTTTATTTATTAAAGATCTTCGTGTTGCGTGTTCGGAAGCTTAAGTCTAACAAACTCAAGGCATGGCTGCAGCTTCTTTCGGTTGCACAATTAACCGTTTGACCCCTCTTCCTAAGTATCGTCATACGGAAACACCTCCTCCGTTAGACGAAGCTCCATTCACAATGGAACAACATACGAATTTTTCCTGAATATAATGCCACCTCGGGATTCCGCTTACACCCAGATTTAAGTACATTGATTGTAAAAAATTGTAAATTCACCACCGGGATTATTATTTTTCACTTCGGAAGCTACAGTTCTCGAGTGTAATTTCAGACGGTGGCTTTGCATTTCGGGTGGAAAATAAATCCGAATTCTTAGTCGTTTTGTACCTTTGACCCCATACCTTGAATGTAAATTTTTCACAAAAAGTCATAAAATTGGCTCTACAATAATGCTAGTCTTCCGGTTAGACGGCTTCCTCTATTCTTTGGTAACAATATCGCGTGCAATTTTTGTTAGATCTACATTGAACGAATCCCGCGAACTAATTTAAATACACGAAAGTCCCCCTGCAAAACGCCTATAACAGGAAATCATCATAAATTGTCGGTCATATCGTACCACAGCCAAATTGGGAAGGTGGTTCCTCTAGGAATACAGCCCCATACTTCAAAGGAATAACTTTTGGATTGTTCTTTTAAAAATTTTCCGTTTTTAGAATTATACAATGAAATGCGTTTGTTTGATTCCGAGGGGTCAATTGTATTTTCCCAGCCCCACCTAATGGGATTGAGCTTCCTAAGTGACGTTAGATTGTTACTAAACAAGGAAAAGAGCAAACTAAAATAGAATTTTAAAATAAATTTATTAGTACCCACTAGTAAATAAAAAAAAAAAGTAAATAAATATTTTTCAGACACAAAATTCTTTCGCAATAAAATAATTTTTGCGGCAAAAAAAATAATCCGCCACGTTTGAATTAATATCCGTGAAAATATTTTCGCATTATTCAATTTTTTGTGTTTTTCCTGGAGAAACAATAATTAGCCTCAATTTCTTTTGTCTATTTGTGGGGGGCATAAATTACAAAAAAAATTTCGTTGCTATTCTGTGTAACTCTCTCATTCAAGCACAAAACCTATCCACTCGCTTTACGAAATAAAGATACCGTACAATGGGAAATCTAGATTCTGGATTTTCGAGGTAAATTGCAAACCAGTTATGTGTCAAAGAATCCAAGGTAGCTCGAAACGAATTTGTGTGGAACAATCAGTAAACAAATCACCACCAAAACGTGAAATCAGGAAGAACCTTAAAAAATCCCCCCCCCCGTTGCGGCAAAAGTAAATTCTCCGGAAAGATTTTCACATTTCTGACATAAAGTGTAGAGGAAGCTTATCACCGTATATGCAACCAAACCAAAGGAGCAAAGTAAATTTGCCATGCTTTTTATAAGTTAATTAATGGAATTGAATGGATACGAAATCTTTATCAGAGCTTGTTGTAAGCCCCTGCGGGTAGATTGATTGATAAGACGCGTATTTGTCTTTCATGAAGAAGACAATACCCAGAAAAAATGTCTGTCAGAGGGGAGTGACTTCAAGGATGTTTCGGGGGGTGGCGGGATACTGTATTGATAATGTTACTTTATTAACGTATCTTTCAGAAACAAGTTTGTCAGCCCAGGGAACAAAGATTAAAAATCTGGGGTGGGAGCCAAAAAATTTTTAAACAATCGGAAAAATTATTAATTAGACAAAAACAATCTTTCCGCACTTGCCAACGCAGGCTTAGGATAGATAAGAATTGTACCTTTGAGCCCCGCCACTCCTTGCTTTCGGCTGGAATTGCAATCGGGTCTTGAAAGTATTCGGTATACAACATTAGTAAACCATTTGCAATTGCTAGTTAAGTGTTCTTCTACCTTAACTTAATGTTTGATGCATAGAATTCAATGCTCGAAGTCAATACCAGACCCAGGAGAATATGCGAATCGGTTGAAATCCTAACCGTCAGTTTCGAAAAGAAGATTTCTGTAAGGAAGAAGCATTGACCTTTGAACCACCTTGGGACCGGGAACGCTGGAACAGCGACCACTCCCTGGAAGCAATCCAATTCTACTTATCCTTCCCCTCCGAATTTGTTATCATTTTGCTATAACCTCTTCTAAGGAATCGGCTGAACCGATTATTGTAGACCATTTTGGCGTAATTGTTCCACCAGTAGGTTCTGTCGCTGGTTGAAGGTCATTCTATTTATTTTTGAATTCACAGTGATTGTCAAAGGAAACAACCGAATCATGGAATGCAACCAACTATGTTAACGAAAGGAGCCGATATAATGGGTTCTATTGATGTTAGCGCTAGTCAATAAACTTTAAAATTTTTAACCTTTGATCTCGGAAAAATAATACCGAAAGTAAGGAATCGTGCAGCAGCTCTTTAGTTACACATAAAAAATATGGTCCCGACACGTCCTTTCCGGAAAAAGCACCATCAGATGGGGTTGTTACATATGTCAAAATATAATTAGATCAAGTAAAAATCTATCAAGACTTAACCCGATAAGCTCTTTCTACATTAGAGTAATAGTGGAAAGATCGTTAGATAGACTTTGTGTGAGTTTCTACTTTGTTAAACAAAAGCCTACGGTTAATATACGAAGTTTCTGGGGTTCATTATCTTGACAATTAGAAAGGAATGGCAATTACTAAGACACAAAACAAGACAAATTTGTGAAACATTTAAAATGGCTCGTCAACCACACAGCTATTTGGCTTAAAGGAAATAAGGATGCAAAAACTATCGGACCCTGCTATAGCGAATGTCGGTAATTAGTGATGGTCTGACCCATGCATCTCCTGCGCGTCAATTAGTGCGCCCTCAAACTTTGGAAAGCTTATAAAAAATTTCAAGCCTTGAAAAAATTGACACAAATTGTCTCGGCGTCTTTTCTTTTTGGTTCCTGCCTTAGTTTTTTACTCAGGGCAATTTTCCCAGACGCGACAGGATCGTAAATAAAGAATGTCCACACTTAGACTTCACCTTCCTCTGTTGAACATGAGTCAAAAGGGCCGGCTGTGAAATGTGTAAGCGTGTTTAAATTGTGCATTGTAACTATTGTATGCCCCAGGTCTTTTATTGTTTCAAAACAACCTTATGAATTAAATTTTTCCCCCAGAAAATAAATTGATTATTTTTTCTAGAATATTTTCCAACCCCAAAAAATATTGATGAAACAAAGGCAATCCATAAAAAGAAATTCCGAAGAAACAGCTAATCTTGAAGGAAGGTTAATCCACTTAGAGGGGGGACATGCAGACACTTTTCCATTACTATGGAGATTGCCAGACATTTTTATATTTTCTTACCTGAAATATTGAGAGAGATCGATTAAAATATTTTTTTATGCAAGTTTATTTTTTAAACAAAAGTTATTCCTGTTTGACCAAAAGCAAATACATTTGAGATACAAATGTAAGTTTTAATTGAGGGAATTTTCTTTTTCTGTGGGGTGAATGACGCATAGAATGAAGTTTGTCGAAACTATAAATATGGTTGAATATCTCCTTCATTCTTCAGATAATTCAATTTTCTCTATTTTAATCTTCAATACATATTATATATCCTCAGTACAATAGTATAATACAAAATGCATGGAGGAAGCGAAGGTAATGACGTGCAAGAAATTATTGCACAAAAGCGTTTAGCAATTGCCGGTAAGGCTGGTATTTCTGGTTTAATTGCCAATAAAAAATCATTCTTTATTGCAGTCTTTGCATCCCTTGGTGGTTTAGTCTATGGTTATAATCAAGGTATGTTCGGTCAAATTTCCGGTATGCATTCTTTCTCAGAAGCTGCTGGTGTCGGTAAAATTCAAGACAATCCAACCTTACAAGGTTTATTGACCTCCATTTTGGAATTGGGTGCCTGGATCGGTGTCTTAATGAACGGTTACATTGCTGATAGACTCGGTAGAAGATGGTCTGTTGTCTTCGGTGTCGTTTGGTTCATTGTCGGTGTTATTGTTCAAGCTTGTACTCATGGTGCTAATTATAACTTTATTCTTGGTGGTAGATTCGTTGTCGGTGTTGGTGTGGGTGTTCTTTCTATGGTTGTACCATTATATAATGCTGAAGTTTCCCCACCGGAAATTAGAGGTTCTTTAGTTGCTTTACAACAATTGGCCATTACTTTCGGTATTATGATTTCATATTGGATCACTTATGGTACTAACTTCATTGGTGGTACCGGCGTTAATCAAAGTTCTGCTTCTTGGTTAGTTCCAATTTGTATCCAAATGGTTCCAGCTTTAATCTTAGGTTCTTGTATTTTCCTTATGCCTGAATCTCCAAGATGGTTAATGAATGAAGGTCACGAAGATAAATGTTTAGATGTCTTAGCTAGTTTAAGAGGTTTAGATAAAAACAATGATTTACTTCAAATGGAATTCCTTGAAATGAAGGCTCAAAAGTTATTCGAAAAGGAATTAGAAGTTACTGCTTACCCAGACTTACAAGATGGTTCTGCTTCATCCAATTTCAAGATTGGTTTCTTACAATATAAATCTATGATTACCCATTACCCTACATTCAAGAGAGTTGCTGTTGCTTGTTTAATTATGACTTTCCAACAATGGACTGGTGTTAACTTTATTTTGTATTATGCTCCATTTATTTTCCAAACCTTAGGTTTATCTGGTACTACTATTTCCTTATTAGCCTCCGGTGTTGTTGGTATTGCCATGTTCATTGCCACCATTCCAGCTGTCTTATGGGTCGATCAATTAGGTAGAAAGCCAGTCTTAATCTCTGGTGCCCTTCTTATGGGTATGTGTCATTTCATCGTTGCCGGTGTGTTGGGTGGATTAGATGGTGACTTCACTGGTCACTCTGGTGCTGGTTGGGCTTGTGTTGTCTTCATTTGGTTATTCGCCGTTTTCTTCGGTTACTCTTGGGGTCCATGTGCTTGGGTTATTGTTGCCGAAGTCTTCCCATTAGGTTTAAGAGCTAAGGGTGTCTCTATTGGTGCCTCTTCTAACTGGTTAAATAACTTCGCCGTTGCTATGTCTACTCCAGATTTCGTTGCTAAGGCTAAGTATGGTGCTTATATCTTCTTAGGTTTAATGTGTGTCTTTGGTGCTGCTTACGTTCACTTCTTCTGTCCAGAAACCAAGGGAAGAACCTTAGATGAAATTGATGAATTATTCGGTGACACTTCTGGTACCTCCAAGAGAGAAGCCGAAATTCACAACCGTTGTCTTAAGGAAGTTGGTTTATTAGACTTGATGGGTCTTGAAGATTTAGATTCTGACCACAAGAATGAAGTTGCTTACACTGAAAACAAGGCTGCTGATGTCGCTGAAAGTGAAAGTGCTTAAAAGGACAGGTTTCTTTTAAAATTCATTTCTATTTCCTCCTCTAATATATAACATAGATATGTTTAACTGTTTAGTAAATTATCAATAATTAATAAAGTAAATTTTCAACAATTTAATTTCAATTATTTCATCTCATCGAAAGCTCGAGAATGTAATTAGTTTTTACCCCACAAAAAGCAACAAAAAACTCAACTTCTTTGCGGAATTTCATGTCAGCCGCATGTTCGATTATTTTATTAGGTTTACATGTGAAAGACTGAAAGCAATACTACAATTGTGTTGTACATGTCTGTGAGTTTTATCAAAAGAGAGGCTATGGCCTTTCAAGTAACGTAACAATAGTAAAGTCGTTCGTTATTGCCCTTGTTCGTGCAAAGAAGCTTGCATTGCTGTACAGCAATCACATGACGACTAAAAATGTGACGTGACCGAAGCCTATTGGTTTCTTTTTGATCCAATAATACGTCAACCGCTTGCTTTTGAGATAATGGTCATATTTCCATGATTTTTGTCTGTTCTCCCCTCCTCACTCGGTCAGACATTTAAAAGGAAATTCATTAAATTATTTAATGGATCGGAAAAATTGTCACAAAGCCTATCATAATTTCTTGAAGTATAGTTACTGAACCAGCTAAAAAATAGACAGTTTCAATTCTGCCAAGTAGAAACTTTGAAATGTTAAAATGCGATTCGGAATCTCTGTTGCGAATTCGACTACCCTGCTCCAATGATTTTCTTTTAGAAGAATTTGTCCATCGAAACTCTGCTCCCAAAGAATCAATTGACCAATTGTATTCAAATGGGTAGCCATTGTTAGTAACAACGGCAATCGGTATTTAAAATGAGTATCAAGTAGTATTCCTAAGCGTAAATAAGCCAAAGAGTTAGAAGTACTCATCTGAGGCAGGTTTTCTTGGCGATGCCATTGCGCACTGTCGGTTGAGGTTTCCTCTTTGAGATGCAGGAGTCTCATTGCCCTCAATAATGACATTCTCATCAAGCTACGAAGTTACGTCACTCCTGGAATAACTATATAATGCAAAATCATAACATAGCCTTGAAATATATCGTATGATCTATGGATATTGTTCTCTTACAATCGTAAATGCAGCCGTTTCTTATTTTACGTTTTGTGGCTCTAGACCTCTAATTCTCTATTGTTCACAACAATCGCTCTGTCTGACTAGAAGAATACAAATATGTAGCTTGGGAGCGCTCAATGCAACGGCATCTATAAGAACAATAAAGGGGCATATAGGCGAGAAAACGATTCTGCGTCCTTTACCAGGAAGGGGAGGATACAAACAAATGCTTCAGGGTCCTGCTTCTAAAATAACAACTAAATCATAACCCAAAACTTAGGCTGCAATACTTAACCTGGGAAAGATTTTCCTATCAAGATTCTAAAAGTCAGAGATTGTCGATTGTTTGTGTCACGCTACAAAAAAATTCAATGGCTGAGGCAAGATTATTTTAACACTTTTACGAGATCCGCCTGACTAGAATTTCATAGGCTGGTCAATCTCGCGGGTATCAATATTACACACCAACAATTCCTACTTTTTTGTTAAAAAAAGTGTAAGCTTTTGTGATAGAGCATTCATACCGCAAAATGATGTTCTGAGATAGGCATCAATCGACATTCACTGTATCATGTCATCAAATATGATCTTTCTTGAACTGTTCAATGGAAGATCTGCGACACAAAAGAGCTTCAGTTTGAAAAACTTCGAGATTTCGCGAATTTTATTGTTTTCACTCATTATTCGCGAAATATTTTTTAGAAAAATGACACAAAAAGGAATTAATAATGATGAAGGAAAGGAATTGGGCGTATAATTAAAACAATACCCTTCGAATCAAAACAATGCCCTTTCAATCAAACAATACCCAAACTAGTACGATGAATATAAATTGTAGATAGTTTCACTTTATCTTACAGTTATTCCATCTCTTCTCTTCTTTTCAAAATCAACCAACTAATCATGATTTTAAACACACTCGCTCTCGTTGCTTTGGCTGGGGGTGCTGTTTCTTCTGATCCAAAAATTCTAAACATTCATGGAAAACCAGTCGTTATCCCCGGTGATATTGCAAAGAGGGATGACCTTGCTCCAACTATAGTTGCTCCAGTTCCTACGTCCACTTCGATTTTATTCACGGCTTCGACAACACCTAAGCAACAGCTTGGAGAAACGATAAACTTTCCTATTTCCTCGAGACCAAACCCACTTGCTACTGAAGGTGTTAAGATCTCTTCGTCTTTATCAAACCCCATCCAAACCAGTTCATTAACTCAAGCCATCGCCGTTAGTCAAAGTTTAGCAACTGAATCCACTGGTGTCTTTTTGACTGTTTCTACAACCTCTACTGAAATTACGTTACCAAGTGATCTTTTATCCAAAGAGGAGATCCTGGATGTGAAACGTGACGTCAATAATCAAAAGCGTGCAACCACTCAAGCAGTTCTTAAAGTTGATGTTTCCAATGCAAACGGTTTCACTGGTGACCTATTCCTACCAATTTCAGTCAATGATCTTACTTCAACCTTCAAGAAAACCCCATTGCCGTTAGCAATCCCAGCCGGTGTTTCCAACGGTAATACAAAATATCAAACTAACAAATTTTATACCAATCTTATTGTTGGAGATCAAACAAGTATGATCTGGTCTTATCCGTTTGGTCTTAACTATCTCAAATCTGTTTACTATGGATTTGCCGTCCAAAGTACCCGGGTTTCACAAAGAGTATTTGGTTATACTGCAACAAACAATGCCAAATATGCTTCCTACTACTTCAATCCAATTGACATCAGTGAAATGATCATTTCGGCCACTCAATTTACATCGGCTTCTAATACCAAGATGAGTGTATCCTCAATGAAAATAAACTCAGTTGATGTGAAATTATCTACTGATGGTAAGGCCACTACCAATTATGTGGATATTCCAATTGTTCAAGGTATGGGATTTGTTACATCTATCTATAAGGGTAATCTTGTACCAAAGATCAATTCAGGGGTTGGTTTTAAAACTTTTGCAGCAGAACAATCAAGCACTTTAACCAATAACAATATCTTGAAATATCGTGCTACTTTGTTCAATAGTGTTCAATATCTTATTTACGTTAAATTACCATCGGGAACGAAGACTACTGATTTCTCACTCAAGACATCAGATTCTAATACTATCAAGGGTTCCAAAGCTATTGATGGGTTGATTATTCAATATGCAATTGCTCCTCTGACCAGTTCCCAATCTGTTTATTACGATCAATCCGCTGGGATGTATACTACCGAATGTAAAGTTAAAGCTCATGGATATGGTGGTACTTCTGCTGAATTGGTTTTCCAATATATTAAAAAGGGTTCATCTATTTCTAATCAGCCCTTAGTCTTCATGCTTCCACATATTGTTGAAGTAGCTGACGCTAACACTAATAAAGCACTCACTGGAATTACTTTGCCTTCTACTACAAAAGGTAATATGACTGGATATGCCATTGACACTATTAGGATTGTCGAAAATTTGAATACAGACGTTCAATTCCTTCCTTGGGTTCAAGAAATGGGAAGCAAAGCACCTATTTGGACTGCTAAACAATTGCAATTAATTGGTCAAGTTGCAAATAAAGAATTATCAGTTGATATTGTGACATTACTTGCCTCTCAAAATTCGAATTATTATGCTGGTAAGATTTTAGATAAATATGCTTACATCTTGTATGTTGTGAGTTATATTCTTGGTGATGATGCGTTAGCCAAAACAACTTTGGCCACTATGAAAACTGCCTTCAATTATTTCAGAACCAACAAACAATTCTATCCATTGATGTATGATACCAAATTTGGAGGTATTACATCAACCGCATACAAGGTTTCCAACGATCCAAATGCAGATTTCGGATCCAGTTATTATAACGACCACCATTACCATTACGGTTATTTCATTCATGCTGCTGCATTGATTGGATACGTTGATTTAAAATATGGTGGTACGTGGGCAAAAGCTCAACAACCATGGGTTAATGCGTTGGTTAGGGATGTTGCAAATCCTTCCCCCTCAGATCCTTATTTCCCAGTTTTCAGAATGTTTGATTGGTTCCAAGGTCATTCATGGGCTGCTGGGTTGTTTGAAGGTGGTGATGGTCGTAATGAAGAATCCTCATCTGAAGATTATAACTTCTCATATGGTATTAAGTTATGGGGTAAGGTAACTGGGAATAAGAGAATGGAATCATATGGTGATTTGATGTTGGCAGTTATGGCAAGAGCCATGAATAAATATATGTTATACTCTAATAATAACAATGTTGAACCAAGTCAAATTATTGGAAACAAAGTTAGTGGAATCTTATTTGAAAATAAGATTGCTTACACTACTTATTTCGGAAGTCCAGACACCAATCCCGAATATGTTCATGGAATTCATATGTTGCCAATCACGCCAGCTTCTTCATTGATTCGTGGATCAACCTTTGTCAGCCAAGAATGGGCTACTCAAATCTCTACTTTTATTAGTAAAGTCAACAGTGGTTGGACTGGTATTTTAAGATTGAATCAAGCTTTATATGATGCCACAAGTAGTTACAACTTTTTCAGTTCAAGTTCTTGGTCCGATAATTATTTGGACGATGGACAAAGTAGAACTTGGTGTTTAGCATTCTCTGCTGGTGTTATGAACGCTCTTGCTTCTTAAAGCAACAAGATACATTTAGATAGTTTCGCAATCGTCTTAGTCTAGAACAATTAGCTTTGTATAATCGTAACACAATAGTAAATACCCAACCGTTTTTATATGCAGTAGATCCTTTTTTAATTGTTGGTGGAATCGAACCATCCGCAACCCCACCCTCACATTCCGTATTTGGAAGTCCAAGATGTTATTTTTCTTGGTGGCCGTTCTTTCTGGGGGAATGTGGTGGTAAGTTAAAGATATCGTTACAAGCCATGGCGGTCGAACAAGCTTATTATAGTAAAGGTTTTCAGAAGTCAATTGCTGACACTCATTCTTGGAGAAATGTTGAAAATTCAGCCAAGTTTGTCCTTGATGTTTTAAAGCCAAACTTCAAATGTTTAGACGTTGGATGTGGACCGGGGTCAATTACAGTTGACTTTGCCAATTACTTACCAGAAGGTTCTATTATTGGTGTTGAGCCAACTCCAGAATTGATTGATACAGCAAATCAATACAAACTCAAGTATATTGAAACAACTGGTAAGAAGTTAGATAATGTTAGTTTTCAAGATGGTTCTATTTATAAATTACCATTTGAGGATAACACTTTTGATTTAGTCCATGCTCATCAAGTAGTTCTTCATTTACAAGACCCCACTTCAGCTCTTATTGAGTTAAGGAGAGTCACCAAGCCAGGAGGATTCGTCTGTGTTAAAGATGCTGATATCGATGCCTGCTTGTCTGCTCCCAAAGAATATAGCCGTCTTGGTGAGTACTATAAGATCAAGGGAAGGGCTGCCGTTTCCACTGATATCTTCGCTGGAAGAAATTTGAGAGCTAAAGCATTAAAAGCTGGATATGAAACTTCCAAAATCAAGACAAGTCTGTCCCATTGGTTCGTCGCTGACAATATGGAGCATAAAAAATTATGGTCCAAAGCCGTTATAGCCAGAATTGAACTGGGTGGCGAAAGATTATATCCTGATGATGAGAAAAAGGAGGAAGAAACTAAGCTCGAAGTGATTAACTTGTGGAATAAATGGAAAGATGACGAATCTTCTGTATTGTTCTTACCTAGTTTCGAGATTACTTATCAAAAGTAAACTCCTTATAATTATAGATTGAAGATAAATTAGATTTATTACATACATATACATAAATATACAACAAAGCTTATTGATCAAAACTCTTGAGTAATTGATCTAATGGTAAATCATTAAAAACATCAAAGTATGGATTGTCCAACGATACGTAATTTTCAATCGCAGAGGTTATTATATTCGTAGGTATTGGTGCCTGGGCTTGAAACTGCATAGGATCAGTTGCAATCTCATGAGTCGCATCAAATACGGCCGGATCCATCCTCATACTAACCTTGGCAAATAAATCATCAAGTTCCAATGCAAAATCTTCACTGGAACTTCCTCCAAGAACTCGAGTATGTTCTTCAACTGGATCCTCTGACGCGGCTCCAAATAATTCTGTAAAATCCTTAGTCAATTCAGATTTATCTAGATTCACCAATGAGCTTTTTAATAATTCCACGAGATCATTCACTTGGCCAATTTTTAATTTGAAGTTTGTTAATGTTTTCAATCTGGTTTGATACCCTGGGGTTTGATTCTGAATGTCATTCAAAGGCTGATAGTATTCATCCAGTTGAATACTCTTGAGGATGAATATATGGGATTTACTGATTCTCCAAGCGTATAAATATCTTTTTCCCAATCTCGACATGGCTATAGTTGAAACCTTGGCACATTTAATAAGCCAAAACTTCAATTGTTCCAAACTCTCCATATAGCTCCTGGCATTAGGGGTGTCAATATCTGCCCCTTTCAACTTCAAAGCACGGAGAGTGTACTCAACTCTGATTATTATGGAAAATAAAAGGCCACTGGTGTTATGTATAAAACATTCTATATTTGGATTGACAAATAAGTTGGCAAAATGACAAAAGAAATAATGTTGATGATCCATTAATCGGAATGAGTTGGGTAAGAAATCTTTGATTAAAATACAAAGGGATTTCTTGAGGTAAAAGAATGCCAAATCTAAATTCCTTTGTTTTTCGTAATGAAGGAACATGTGACTATAGATATTAATTAGGAATTTATGGGATTGAAAATAATAGTGGAGATAAAATACCTTATCTAATAAGTCATTATTATTCAATTGATTAACTGCTTCGGCAAATTCTGAACAACTTTTTCCGAGATTCTCGGCAACATATAGTTCCAAAGCATTCATCTTTTCTGTCAACTCAATCATCTTCACCGGACCGTTAACATTTAAGACAACATTTAATATGTTTCTCCAATGCGTAGGTAAATCCTTGATTCTATAATACGCTTTGGTAATGAACCCATCAAGGTATTCAAAATTAATATTTGTGTTACCTTCCTCGGCAAAGGGGAATTTTGTATCTGAATACTGTAAGTCAGTAGACAAGGGACCGCCATATGATATACCTTGGAATACATCTAAATAAACCAAATAGTGCCACATTTTTCTTTTAATATTATTGGCTTTCACGTCTGTTGATCCGTGAATCTTTTCTGGGTCCCTGTTTAAACCAATTGCGTGGGCCATTTGGATCAAAGTTCCATTATAAATTTGAAATTGATTCCTATCTGGTCCTTCAGGGTCCTCGGGTGCCAAATAAAAGTAAACTCTCATCAACATTGCGAACTGTAAAATTGTTAGGTTTGTCTTTTGGAATAATTGGAACTTTGTCATACAATTTCTTGCTAAATCTATGAATTCGATACCAATTTCACTTTTTAATAATAGTTGCAAATGTTTAACTTCTTCCGCTGAGAATAATTTAGACATGTGATCTGGAAGTTTACCTATTTTCAAAACGAAATTATTCAATTCTTCGTTATTTGAAATTAAGGATAGAAAACTCATTCTTAATATTATCAATAACATACCCATATGAGCATAATCTAGATTATCTGAGATATTGACAAATGTAATGTAATTCTCTTCGCTGGTCTCTTCTCCAATTAGTTTCGTTATCGCCTTCTTGAATGTAAACTCGTCAATAAAAGGTATGAAAGGGTATAAAACTTTGAAAAATCTATTGATATGAATCCAAACGATTTTCTTACTAGGTAATAGTTTTACCACTTTTTCCAGCAAATCAATTGAATTATCATTGAAATATTCTTGATTGGTAGTAAAGTTCATTCCTAATGGAATAGCAGTTTTATTAATTTTCTTCTTCAGTGAATCGAATTCTTTATATGTACTTAAATCCATTCTCAGCAACACTTGGAATGGGGCTGCCGCTAGTATCCCTCCAAGCTCTGCCATTCCAATGTGTGGAGGTGACGCTGACCTGGATATCGGGGTAGGTGACGCAGACGGGGCTGCTTGTGGTCTTTGTTTCCTGCTAGCTTCTTTAAATTCTTGTGATTTGATAGATATGAATTTCCACAAGTCATACAATGCGGCATCTTGTTTGAATAAGGCATGCCAAGTGAATGGACCATGGTTTACTTGCAGCTTATCCAGATTTTCGACATAAGATGGATAATCAAAAAAGAATATTGTGTCATCTGGAGAACCAATGGGATTTACTCCGATCACGGAGCCCTTGTTAACAAAACGCGTTAATATATCGGATAATTGAGTTGTGACAAGATACGCGTCTGATGAAGGAATATCAGCAATTGAACCCAGTACGATTGGAGTCGTGTTAATACGTTGAACATTGGTCCCTAATTGTGAGGTTGGGGAAGTAGACTTTTTGGATGGAATAGAATTAAGTGACGTGATGGAGCTTTTTGGTGCAATATTGGAAGGGTAAAGGACAGTGGGAAATGTACTACTATTCTCTTGGCCAAATGAACTGGGATACGATAAAAGCGAAGATGATGGAGGCAATTGAGAATTCGCAATTTGAGAAAGGGGACTTGGGTTTTGTTCAAGTGGTGCAGTAGGAGCTGTATTCAATAAGTTGTTTACATGTGGTGGAATAATCTGGGGCAGTTGCAAATTGTTTAGAATGATGTTTTGTCTCTGTTGTTGAACAAATTGCGTAACTTCTTCATAATTTTGTCTTGGTTCGTTCTGTTGTTCCTCACCTTGGCTATCACTCCAAGTACCTCTGATGGATTGAGAATATGAGCAGATGTCTTGAGTCTTGTATGTAATACAACTTGAACAAGGCACTTTTCGATCACATTTAACTTTCCTCAGTTTACAAACATTGCAAACAAGTACAGTTCTATTACGCCTTTTCTTCTTCATGGGAGGTTCACTAGTGGATGCTGTTGACGACATTGCATTGATTGATACTTCTGTCATTTGTAGTAAAAATTCGATTTGTAGAGGAAGGAATTGGAAATTTTCACTTTTAGGTTTTTACAAGTTTACTGGGAAAACAGAAATCTTGATTACCTAATCACTTTTATTATTGGCACCAAGAAAAACGAAAGACCGATGGCTGTGACTGCATACAAGAATTGGTTTGTAATTCGGTGATTGTGTTACATTGTGTACCTTAGTAGCTATTGAATGAGAACAGGCATAATTAAAAGACCGAGATTTATTAATGATCGATTTATATTTCTTTTTGACTTGAAAGAGAGTGTCTTTTCTTGCTATGAAGTAAGGAGTACGTAATATTATAAATAACGGATTTGCAGTGTTACCAAAGCTGTCCAGCTTCTTTTGGCAGCCAATGCTGTCCTTTCCGAAGTACATGAAATTGACCAATCGAGTACAATGGAGAAACATTACAAATCAATCAATATTTACAATAAGGAAATAATAATGGTGGAAAAATAATATTAATACAAAGATATACACGAGTTTAAAGGACTAATTACCTATACCTTTTCTTCTAATATTTCTTCAACGACTTCCGCATCACTGGATGATCCACTAGATTCATCGTCCAAGTTTGATCTTGTACCTTTATATGTTTTGTAGCCATAAACAAAAAAGTAAACCAAAGAAAGAAGCCATACACCAACATTAATGACAACAGTATAATTCATTGTTTCTTTATTAACCTGTTTAGAATTTGGGAACATACATAAGACAATCACAAACATAATCCAACAGACAGAAGCGAAATTTATAAAGGTACTCCAGAAATTACCAAGATAGAATTGACCTTTAACGAATCTTTTTCTTCCGACTGGTAATAATACTAATAAGATTGGCGTACCCCAAGCTAAATAGTTACATGCAACAGCTAACGAAAATGTTGCGTTAGCACCAGCTGGACCAATTAAAACTAATAAACCCATCAAAAGAGCAATAATACCACCGAAAATGGTAGCCCTAACTGGAACTTGAATCTTAGGATCAACATACTTGACAA